AAAAAAAAATTGAAAAAAAAAAAGAAATACACTAGAGAGCGAAGGTCCCCAAACTGGACCGAGAGAATGAGACGCCGATTTTCATCGGCAGCAGGAGCTTACAGAACACTTCAAGATTCCAAAAGAGCTTCATTAAAAGACTTGTTACAAAAGGATAAAGAAAAATTAAAGGCTAAGGACAAAAAAAGGTGCCTAAAATCAATGACAGGACAGACGTGACGAGGGCTGTGACTCTCACTGCCCCACCCCCGACCCCTTTTCACCTGAGCGCTCACATTTGCCTAACGTTCTAAGATGCCTTTCCACTCCAAAGAGACTCTCAGACAAATGGCACTTAACATATAACTACCCAAGGTTGCGGACGGAGCTTCTCAGGTGTCCTTCACCCCTTGGACAAAGACAGAACTAAGAGCGGTAAAAGAATTTTCTAAACCCGAGGAGGAATCCCCAAGGTTGTTTTTTTTGGAAGAACTTAGTCCTTTATCTGGGCCTGTGACCCTGGGCTGCCGGGTCTTCGACAGCTTGTACAAGTGTTGGCAGGACCTGGGGGAGCCCCAAACGGATGCAAGAAACAAATGGCAAAACCCCAAGGATGATATTCCACCAAAGGGCTCACTAAACAGGAACCGACCTTTCCCAAGCCATCCCTAGTCTTCCCTCCCTCACTGATTTCATCTATCGCACAGTCATGTGGACCAAGAGAATCTGTGGCAGACTCTGCAGCCCATTTGGAAGCTCTTCTTATGGTATCTGGGGCTCCATACAATACACGAGGCCAGTCAGCCTGCTCCAGCTGTCCTCTTTGTACATGGATTATCTCGCAAGATTCATGGATTGATAAGAAGGCAAATAACTGGCGAGGAGGCCACAGGCCTGACTACAGCTGAGCACTTTGAAAGGAGCAAGATGGCCAACAGAAACCCAGCGCACAACAGCTTTACAGATACAACAGCTCCAGGGCCAGAGACCCAAAGTAACACCCAGCCCTCCCTGAAGATTTTGGTAACTTCTTTACCAGTGGAGAAGTGAAAGTTAAGGGGAGGAGCTGTAAAGGTGAAAAGACCCTCTCCCAGGCGCCGGATGTCACGGCTCAGGATCAAGCATCAAGGCCTAGTGGAGAAGAGGCAAATTCGGCAACATCAGGGGTTCAATTTTCCCCAGGCGTGCGGCTGGCACAGCTAACTCTACCCACTCAGATCCAGCTTCCCTGGGAATTAGGTTTTGGTGAAACACACAACCAGAACAGGACCTTTTAGAAGAAACGGTGCTAAAGAGAGAGCTTCTTTCTGCAAGCTGCCACTGCTGTCCACACTAAAAGTGGGAGATGGGGACCTCCCCTGCCTACTCCTTAGACGTACTGGGAAAAATTAAACCTTGTGCTTTAAACAGAGAGAAATCATCTCCATTTCTCTTCCTCCTAATGAGCTACTATCTTCTTCCTATCTTTCACATTTAAAAATAAAAATTCTTTGAAAGACAGTATCTAAATTTTAAACAGTGATACTTACTAACATAATTTAAGTGGTGGGAGAAAACACAAAAAAAAGGAAAAAGAAGATACAGATGAATACTTTTAAAAGGCAACTTAGAAATCATAATGATATTATGTAACACAGCCAGGTCAGTCAATGGAGTATTCTGATGGCATCCACTGCCAATTTTTAAATAATTTTATGACAAAATGATAATATCATGGTTCATGGCAATTTTACCACTTGTAACTTTGTTCCTTGACGATCAAGAGTCCCGTGGTAAGACGATGAATGTTAACAGTTGAGATACAACTTATTAAACAGTCTTGGTGTTTTTTGGTTTGGGTGGGAGGGGCGGTTTAAGAGAAGAAAGGACATCTTTGCAGTTTTAAAAATGGGCTAACACTCCAAAACTCTGCACGTGAATTAGTTAAAAACATATTGTGGTTGCATGAATAAACCTTAAAGTTCTTAATTGTTTTAATTCGGAACTTTAAGAAATATTCTAGCTTTCAATTCGGAAGACAGGAACACCTAGAGGCTGAGGTGCCCTGAAAGAATCTCATGGGTCTTCAGAATGTTGACTGTCAGGATGTCAGCTGCATTTCAAAGACACAGGCAGGGATGGAATTATGAGTCAAGCCACTTAGAAGACTGAATGGAAAAGCACCTAACGGAGTGTACTGCACTTCATGTGCTGAACTTAAAGGAGAAAAATTACCCCCATACTGTTATTACTCTAAGTAGACTCCGGTTTTATTCTGATGTAACTAGAGCATTAGGTCAGAACATTTTCAGTAAAATTAATTTGGAATCCTCTGACTTTGAATGAAAGGTTACATTATTTTCTGAGGAATTCTTAGAAATGACATCTCTATCCCAGGCAAGACAGGGGGAGGGAACTGTTCTAGTTTGGCTAGATTTGTAGCAAACTAGAGTTTGGATTTCTTTCTTTTTTTAAGTTTATAAAAGGAACCGCCTTCATAACATGACTTGAGATATTATGCCCTTGGTTCAAGCGCCAAGCTACTCCTGTTTTGCCCCACATGGAGGCGTGATGCTGGACACAGTCAATCCCCTTTGGTGTCAGAAGATAATAATAAAAACTTATGTTGCTCTAATCTGCAGCGTTCCTGCTGAACAGCCTTTTACATGAGAACACTCAGAATGAGAAGGTGACTCAGAAAGCAGCGGGCAGAATCAAGAAGAGACACTTAATGGTCCTGGTTAAAGAACTATGCACATGATGACATTGAAGGAGTGAGGCAGAGAGAGCAACACCCTCCGATCGTTGTGGGGAAGCCCTAACCCTCTGAGCACAGGCATAATTTCAGGAAGGCTCCCAGAGAAATTCTGATCGCACTGTGGGTATCTGGACACCCCCATGTGGTAACAGCACTGATACGGTTTTAAGATAGAAAAAGATCTTGCAAAAGAGAAAGAGCACAGTCTGTGCACACCCGCTGCCACGAACCATTTCTAACAAAGGTCTCGGGCCACTGGATGCAGGCTGGCTCTCTTTTAGGTGATCAGGTTAGGATACAACGCCTAAAAATGGTGAATACTACCCTTAGTGCGTGAATTAACAAAGCGTTTTAGAAACCACACGGCCAAACTGCCTTTAGACCTTGTTCAAGATGAGATGTGAGATTCACCGTCTGTGAGGTGCTGGAAGCATCTGATTGGAAAATACTTTCACATTTTCTGTTTATGACTAAGTTAGACAAGAACATTGTTTGCTCACACCCATGACGGTACTGAGTTCAGCTGCTGAAAACTCCTACGATGAAAAACAAGTGCGATGATAAAGTCTTTCTAATTAAATGCTTGATGGGCTGAGAAACCACCAACATCTGGTATCATTAAATACAGCTCTTAAACCTCAAACATCACACACCTGGAATGAATGGAGCAAAACTCGAAGCTGTGATTCATTCTCTAGGCTGGTTCTCACCATCTCTTGGTTAAGAACATCCGTCTCACAGACCAAGCAGCCAACTAAATGCACCAGCTGGTTAGGTTAGGCCACCTTGAACGGCTTACTACCTCGGGTTCCAATGGTTTTCCCAATTAATACCACCAATATGCCCCACAGGGACCAGTGCACACACTGGTTTTTTAATAGATAACTCCCGGTCTGATCATCATAAAACTCCTTTTCAAAACAAAAACAAAGATAATCTTTAGGTTGAGGTTGGAGAAAAGCTGGTTAAACACTTACATCCCATCCCCGTCTCCTTCTCCCTGAATATTCTCCCAGTATGTTTTCCTGGCATAAACAGATAACCCACTTCAAGCAGCTTTTCAATGTCTTCATGTATCAGTGGCTGGACGGTGACCTCAAATTTACTGATGGGCCTAATTTCTAATGCGCGTCTGTGTAGAAAGACGACTATTTCCTAAATGCTTCACATCCACTGAATTAATGAGACAGGGTTACACTTTCAAGGGATCCTTTGCACTATTCTGGCTGCGTTAACACCTCAACGCACATACAGGCTTAGCTCCCTTTGTCGATTCTTCACTGCGTGTGTGTAAATATATACCCTCCAGTTAACTAAACCGTCTTCAGAATTTTCTATATCCAAGATACACCTTCTTGTATTTGATATTCATTTGATTACAACATGCAATTTACATCTGAGCTACTGCAGGACACAAAACACAGCTCTGTCCGGTTCCATGCTACGCTCGGGGAAGGACTGACAACTTCACAGACAACGTCACAGTGACACACAAAACCCAAGCACGTTTTCGATTAGCCTATCCTCTGAGAAATATGCTTTCAGATAAAAATGTGACTTCCCTCTTACCGTCCACCCACCGAAGCATGCTGTCCCCATCCGGAGCCGCAAGACACTTTACTAGGAACGAGTCTTCTTCCGTGCAAAACCTAAAGCACTTGTCTCCCATCCAGGTTGTCCCCTGTTGTCAGTGAACTGCACACCAGAAGCATCTGTTTCAAAGGGATTTTCTTGGGTTGTCGGCCAACCACAGGCTCCCTTCAAACTTCAGGCTAACCTTGTACAGAGTCAGAGTCCAGCAGGCACAGGCTTTGACCTTTTGAGTAGGAGTCAGTGTCTGCTAAGTGTTCCATTCTGTGAGCCTAACCATGTGCATTTTACAGAGCAGGACGGATGGAGGCTACTCCTCCCTGCCTGGCACTCCTCATAAAAATGCAACGGCTTCCAGAAACCCTCACAGAGAAAGTCAGTTATTTCTCTCCCTGCTGGTAACCAGCTCCTGCCGACTATTCATCTTACGCGTGATGATGACTAATATTCGCCGAATGGCGAGCAGACGGTCCTTGAGCGAGACCATGCCCAGGATGGCCAGCTGAGCCTTCCGCTCCAGCGGCAGCACCGCCAGGATCCACCAGGACCAAGCAGGACCACTAGGATTGCTCTGCAAAAGAACGGAGAGGAAAGCACAGCGTGATCACCTAACACACAGGCCTGTTCCCCCAACAGCCTTTTGTTCCACTGACCGACACATGAGCAAGAATTAAATGCCACCTTTTATTTCAGGTCTGATTCATTCAGCCCTCAGAACTCAAAAGTTCACTCTCATGCCCCACATTTACAGGTAGGGAAATGCAGAAAAGGAAGAATTTGCAAAGAGAAGCATCTTTCAGAGGGAGACTCGATGAATTCGTCACTCCTGTCCTGTCCTCTCAAAGCTCTGGTTCAGAGTATATGACCAGCCAGAGGAGGGGACCGCGATTTTTACCTCTTTTCCAATGTTCTGTTACTTTTTTTTTAAGTTTAGGTATGGTATATAAAGCATAATATTTATAAAACCAAAGTAGTATGTATACAAGTTTGAGTGTTACAAGATAAATCTTTTCTTTTGTGGGGGGAGGTAATTAGGTTTATTCATTTATTCTTTGAGGA